ATTATTATTATAATAATAATAAATAACAATACTAATACTAACAATAACAATGATATTAATAATATTATTAATAATAATAATAGTAATACCAACAACTATAATAATAATAATAATAATAATAATAATAATATTAATAATAATAATAATTATAATAATAGACAATAAAAATAATTGATAACTAGGATTAACAAAATCATATCTCATGTTCAATCTGTTGAAATCTTCCCGGCTTGGCTTCTTTTTTTTTTTTTCGATTATTTTATCCTTTTAATTTATTGTTATTAGTTAGGTCATTAAATTAGTCCGGGGACCTTAATTACAGGCCTACGGCCTCCTTGGTCCTCGGCACTTGTAGTAGTTAAGTTGCAAATTACAAGTGAAATAAAATGATGATGATGATGATGATGATGATGCTATATAACATTCAACTGACTAACTATATATACCTTGATTTATGTTATATGCACCTATTTGTTTCTAGCCGTACCTATTGTGTAATAGAGTGTATCTGGTGGTATTTGAATCTGTTCAACCATGAAGCCTCCCTGGTCTAGTGGTTATGACACTCGCCTTGACAGCGAGAGGTCGCAGGTTCGAGTCCCGCCAGAGGCATTTTATTACACAATTTCTTTATTCATTTATTTACAGGACTACGTTCGTTGACAGCTATGCTACACGATGTATTTATTAAGTCCTTTATTTGAACACTGTATTTACCTTTCTTTGATTATTTATATATATATATAACAATTGATGTTCCCCTTACTTTGGAAAGTGTGGGGACGTGTCCCCCTGTCCCCCACCGATCGACGCCCATGTGCGTAGACGACACGTGCCTTGACATTAGGGTATCTGGTACCGGTTTGCCGGGTAGCTCAGACACGAGAGACACAAGCTACTGTAAGAGCTGGCTCACACCTCGAGCGCTTTGATGTATATTTGACTTCATGATATCAAATACCTTAGCACATAGGCCTAATGATAAACCTAAGCATATACCGTTATAAAATCGCATTTATACTCACAAGGGCAGATTGCGCTGTCCAGATCGTGAATTTTTCTTGTAAAAAAAATAAAAAACTTGTGTATACGGTACCCATATATAGTCATGATGTGCCTATAGGCCTATATGGTGATGATGTGATGTCATCGTGGCCATATTTAGACATGTCACATGTTTTTGTCAAATACAAATTGATAGTCTGGACAGGGCTTAAATTAAAGATATGATAATAAAGAAAAAAACTGTGAAATTCACTATTTTAATTGTTTACTTTGTCAAGCTTTCAATTGGAAATTATACTGAGAAATTATTCACGTTCGCGCGCATATGAACACAACAAACACATAAAAATACCTTATTTTTACCGTTACCTATTTTACCGTTGCTTATTCATACAGGTCTTTCATTCCTTACCGTATTTCGCTCATTATATATATATATAGTTTCTTATTTTCAGCATTTTTCTCTCAGCGAAAACTGAACAGTTGCAATCTGTTTTGTATTGAATGCAACAGGAGTTTTTATTGTACAGTACTTATAATAAACTCTGCACATTCTCTGCCACCCTCTCAGGATCCTACGTTACACTTTTAGATAGAGGGCGACATGAGAATATTATATCCGATCAGGATGCGATAGAGACTTTAAACACGGCCTCAACTGAGGAATATCAAAACAAATAAAAGAAATATAAATACGAAATTATAAAACTAACGAACGGCACGCTCGCCGATGGTCCTGGTGGTGGAACAAGTCTTCTCGGATAAGGACTCTAAACCGTAGGCTCAGTGTACACAATTATTGGCTCGTGCGTAGTTTAATTAACCCAGTATAGGCCTATATCCATCGAGAAAACTAGGGGTTATACCCCGGTGTACTGGTCCATTCAGCCCAGCCTGTCGTTGTCCTGCCTCTTGGCAGCTGATTGGACATGATGTGACCAATTGAGGAAGAAGAAAGTTTTGAATGAGTTAGTCCGTTGCTCATTTCAGCCTAATTATTAGTCACGGGTTATTTCCTAACTTTACCTTTACACGCCCTTTGATTGACCGGGCATTTAGGATTTGTCTATACCAACCTGCAATCTGTAGTGGAACTCGCATCCAAATTCATTTTAGCGATTGCCAAGGACTTTTTATCTGGACAGTAAAAAGTAATTGTTTTAGCGAAATGATTCCAATGCGATGTATTATTTTAATCAATAACATCACAAATATGCCAAATCCTGTAACACGGGGCCTGTGTTTAACTCTGCGTAGCTTGGTAATTGCTCTGTCTCTATGGCAATCTCATCGTATGTTGGCGGTAGATCGTCATGTTCTCTGGTAATTTCATTGTTGTGGGGTAGGGAGGCTCTGCCCATGTCGTAGTCATGTCGTAGGGGCTCAGGCACGAGTTCAGGCACCCTTCTAATGTATTGACCTTCAGTTGTGTGGTGCACGTATGAAACCAAGTCAACTTCGTCATTTCCCTCGCAACACCATATAGTACATTGGTACGCACACATATCAGCCACGGCGGAAAGCCAGTGACACACGGGTGACGTCATTACTTGGGAACAACAGGATGATTCACTGTTTTCATTTTCATCTGTTGTTAAGAATAATAATAAGAAAGAACATTTTTCAACTATTATTGTCATCGTTATTGTTATTGTCACGTGGTCATCATAGTGGTCTCTGAAATCATCATCATCGTCAGCATTATCATTTTCATCATCATCATCACCAGCAGCAGCAGTGTCTTCGTCATCATACTCATTTGTCACTATAGTCATTATCTTCACCATTATCTATCCATCAACAGTAATCGTCATCGTCTTGTCATTATTACCATCATAATCATCGTCATGATCATCCCCATCATCATTATCATTATTATGTTATCATCTTCATCACCATAATCAATATCATCAGCTTCATCATCAACAACAACTCCTGTCTGATTATACTATCAATATTTTGTCAAACGTATAGGTCTACCGTGTGTAGATTCAAGATTCACTTAATTTATTACTACTTGAGCCATCTCGGGTAATTATCCGCTATCAAAATCACGTTAAATAACAATCAGAATTACATTACATTACAGCGCCTCACCTGTAATGCTGCTAATCCGATAACGATACTGTTCTGGTTGGATGGTGGGCATGCGAGCAGCCTGATGGTACGTCGGGGGTTGAACATCAGCCAGTGGAGATAAACCGCCTGGTTCGGATATCATTTCAGTTCACATTGATGTTTCTCTACAGTTCAGCAATACAGCTTTGTGAATATGAGGTCGTCATTATACCATCATCAATATCATTGTCATAATTATAATTGTCATCATAATCATTATAATTATCATCTTCATTATTAAATTCATTATTTATTATTGTTATCATGATTATAATCATTATTAAATTCATTATTTATTATTGTTATTATTATTATCGTTTGAAGGTTTGCATGGCGAAGTATTAATAGATATAAATGCTTGCAGTATACCACGTAGATAGTTCTGAAAATTATTATCATCATCATACTTAATTCATTATTTATTATTGTTATCATTATTGTCATGTTCGTCATTATCATAATTATAATTATCATCATTATATTGATTATATTTATCATCATCATGATTAAATATATTATTTTTGTTATTGTTATTATTATTATCATCAACATCGTCGTCATCGCTATCACGCTGCTTGGAAACAGATTCTTACACTAGTCTCCTATAAGTACAAGCTCGGTGGTCTAGACACCAGCCTAGTAATTTGAAGGTCGTGGGTTTGATTACCACCAAACGAATCTCTTGCGAAATGTATTTAGGCTGTTATTGCAGCAGGGGCGGATCCAGAGATGTTCGAAAAGGGGGCTGAAATTGGGTCGTATCGAGATAACACCACCCTAGGGGCAGTGCCGGATTAAGCATCGTCTGGCCTCAAGGCACATTTTGGAAATGGCCCAAAAATGTTAATTGAATGGACCCCATGGTAAAAATTACGAAATGTAAAAACCCCAGCTACCGTGATTACTCATTCAATGGTAACTGGTCTACACCGTCTATTTGCTCTCTCCAATGCCTGCTGTAAACGAGGGTGCATGGAACTAACAAAACCACTATAGTTTAACTTCACTCTGATTTTAGGCCTTTTGCAGGCTCACAGATGTATCGGGATACACAGACGGTTTCGTGAACATGTCGAAATAAAAAGACTTGCAGAAAAAAGAAAAACGCGTGCAAGATCGGTTTTCAGCTAGGTGTTTTTATGGAAGAATCTTCCTAGATCAAACGTCCGCTAGATCGGATAAAATAATAGTATGTGCTGCAGGAAAACATTTAGTATAAATCAGAACATCCGATGGCCGCAGGCAAAAAATCTGTCGGAGAGAAGCGTTACTCTGCCACAACTCTAACAGTAGAATGTCTCCGAGTTTTCTGGCCTAATAATACCGGAAAATAGAGTGTAAATAATATTGCAATCCAACTTTTGATGGCCCATCATTTTCGCCTGGCCCACAAGGCTTGTGCCTTATTTGCCTAATGGTTTTTCCGGCACTGCCTAGGGGGCATGCTCCCGCGAATTTTTTTTCTCTTGACGCCTGAAAATAACCTCTGAGACGTTTTGGGCGATGAATTTTTTTCTTTTTCTTTCTTTCTTTCTTTTTTTTTTATTTTCAAAAAAAAAAAGGGGGGGGGTGGCCCCTGTGCAGTCATCATTAACTTCACTATTCACTTTTTTACAAATGGACAATAAGCTACTGTATGAAACAAGAGGCCGTGGTATAGATTCCATCAATGAATGGGAGCATTTCCCCTTCAAGCCTACCATGTTGACTTAGTTGGCGATTTAAAGAGACCATAGGTTTATAGTCCATTCACAACTAGAAATTCAGCAACATTGACACTGGAACACACACCGTTTGGCAAACACATTCATACACGCACGCACCCACACAGTAGGTCAACATTACATAATTAAATCATCTCAAACACGGCACATAATAAAGTCATATGAAGCAAAATACATAATGCTTAGCCTACCTCGAACGATGACATCTGATTTTTCTAAATCATTTCTCATAGAAACTGTATATATGTACTTGTTCAGTGTTTACGTTTCATGTCCGACTATGTTAAATATAAACACATGCATATTATTAAATGTGCTTCCTGAAGCGATACAAAACCTTAGGGAAAAGCGGACGTTGTCCCGTACGTGGACTTTGCCCTTGTTTGCCATTTCGATCTTAATCTCGGCAAACAGTCTAACTTGAAGGTTAATGAAACTAATTCTTCTATGAATTGTGGTTTTTCTCCCTTCCGACGTGGACCCTGGGTCCCAGGCCCCCTCTGGTGCTACCCCTGTGGCGCTCCTATACCCAATCAACATCTTTATATACGACTTTTTATGGATCTCGACCTGCTATGTAGGCCCTCTTTAGGCTAGACGCGCCTAGACGGTTGGAAGCGACGATCGAAGAAAAACGGTTAAGCAAGCCAAGGACTTCGTTAACTTCCATTGCATTCCTCAGTATTAAAATCCTTCTATGGATGGGCACTGTCTAAAACTTTCTTCCAGCTTATCTCTGAAAGGATTGTAACCTTTTCGTCTGCAGTTGGCTCAATATGAATTACACAGGAGCCAGTGAGCTTCCATGACGGCCTATACTCGGACATGACACGTTGTTGTTTGTTGTTATTTCGCGACGTCATCAACGAGTACAATACATTCATTATCCACCATCAACTAAAGTGCCTTAAAGGGAAAAAAAATCGTTCATGTGGGAATCGAACACAAAACCTCCATGTTTGCTATTTATTATCCACAATAAATCGAATCGAACTCACGACCTTCAAAATAAATAAAAAAAATTAAAAAAAACTTGCCCCGTGTGAGAATCGAACCCACGATCACTGAGTTTACTACCCCTGATCCAGCATGACTAAGCGGAGGGAGGTAAACCGCGGCCCCTAAACCATAAATGCGATAAACCTACTACCACACCAAGTACCAGTTAGTCAACTCTGACCCTACTAGAAAAAATTCTTCGTATATATACACTGCAGGTTAATATTACGCATGGTCATGGTGTCAAAAATGGGCCGTGGGCCAAGGGGGTTTACTTTTTTGTCTAAAAATGTAGAATTAAATTTATAATCGATTTTTGAATGTTACCATCTCCATAACTTACGCACTTTTTTTTAAATAGACAAAAATGTTTGCAAAATACATTATGCAAATTAGAAAAAAAATAGACTAATGTTACGGGAAACCTGGTGGTTGTGTGTTCAATGCCCACACGAAGCAACTTTTTTTTTTTTAAGGCAGTTTAGTTGATGGTGGATAATGAATAGCAAACCTGGAGGTTGTGTATTCGATTCTCACACAAACCATTTTTTTTTTTATAAGGCAGTTTAGTTGATGGTGGATAATGAATAGCAAAACCTGGTGGTTGTGTGTTCGATTCCCACACGAACCATTTTTTTAAGGCAGTTTAGTTGATGGTGGATAATGAATAGCAAACCTGGTGGTTGTGTGTTCTATTCCCACACGAACCATTTTTTTTTTTTACCCGACGTCGGTAAACTAAAAATACAACCTTTAACCAACGTCGGCCCAACTGTTGTCACCAACCTCCACTAACGTTTACCGACGTCGGGCCAACAAAGTACCGTGACGTTGAGACAACGTCTATAATCACATCCTAATATTTATTACAACCTCTTACCAACGTCGGACCAACAGTTGTAACCAACCTCCATTTCAAAAGTTTACCGACGTCGGGCCAATAGCGTACTGTGACGTTGCGACCACGTCTATAATCACATCTAATATTTACAACCTCTAACCAACGTCGGCCAAACGGTTGTAACCAATTGACGTTGTCGCAACGTCAAAGTACCTTGTTGGCCCGACATCGGTAAACGTTTGAAATAGATTGGGTACCACCGTTGGGCCGACGTTTCTTAGTGGTTGTAAATATTATGTATGATTATAGACGTTGTCGCAACATCGCAGTACTCTGTTGGCCCGACGTCGGTAAACGTTTGGAATTTACAACTTATAACCAACGTCGGCCCAACTTTTGTCACCAACGGCTCCCCCCCCCCCCCCTTGTACCCAGTGTTAACATTTTAATACAAATTCTTTCCTGGGATCACACAAAATGAATACTTCTAAACATGTAAATATGCATCAGTACACGTTATACATAGACCTAATAGAACACATAGGCCTAAGCGTGATTTAAAAAAATCTTAAATCCATAAATCTCAGGCCAGGTCTTTTAAGATAGAAATGTGATACTGTGGTTCAATTTCTTTTTTATCCTTTTCCAAGTTTCTTTAAATTTTTGTTTAATAATACTACTACTAATATTAATACTAATAATAACAATGATGATGATGATGATGATGATGACGATAGTAATAATTGATAATAATATTAATAGCAATAAAAAGTGAAGAAAATTGTGCTAAATTCGAAAAAAAGTTGTGATTTGTTGATCATAATATAGTATTTATGGTTAAAACTTAGTAAGCTATAGTTAGGCCTAAGTTATCTAAGTAATTCCCTGATAAAAGATCATGAGAAATTTGTTGGCGTTTCATTTTGACTATAATTATGATGTGATGATGATGAATTTTACTATATAAAAGTGTCATTTCCAGCCATCTCGAAAGGTGCTATTTCCTCAAATTTTCTCACCTCAGCCCCAGCCATGGTGGGGCTGAGGTGGGTGTCGACTCAAAAAATGCCCTCCCCCTCCACCTTTCAAAACAGATCTGTGCCCTTCCTTGGGTATGATATTAAACTCCATCGAGTCGACTCATGATGTATGTCTTAGTGACTGCTGTTTGTTTTTAGGATGTGATCTGGTTTTTCATGTCCATTTTTCGTGATTATGACTATCCTGGATAAAGAATGTTTTGAGCAGAGGTTGATTCAAGGCCCCCCCCCCCCCCCCTTCATTTTTAAAGGGGGAAAAAAAGAAAAATATATTCAAATTGAAGTGCGAGAGTGTAATTTCCGGCCGTCTAGAGATGCCTTAATCATGAATTTTCTTACCTCAGCTCCAACCATGGTGGGGCTGAGGTGAGTGGTTCCTCAGTCTTTGAATGTCCCTCCCTGGTTAATCTTTCTTTCGAATTCCTGGATCTGCCACTTTTGATTTATTATATAATTATTTTTGCGTTTATTTATAATGCGTCTATTGCCATTTTCACTTTATCCTCTCAAACAGTCCTAAGAACGTTCAGAGTGCGCTACTTCACAGGGAGATTTGACCCCGCCGGGGTCCTACGTAATTCGCATAACGGCTCCAATCACATCTAATATCACATCTAATATTTACAACCTCTAGCCAACGTTGGGCCAACGGTAGTACCCAACCATCTTTTTAGTAGTTTGCCGACGTCGGGCCAGTAACAAATCGTGACGTGGTACCAACGTCCGTAATCAGACTGAATATTTACGACGGCTTACCAACGTTGGGACGACATCGGAAAATCGACAAATATATTCATACGTTGGGCCAACGTGAAATTCCAATGTTGGTTTGACGTTACCTCTCCGACCAATTTTTTTCAACCAAACACCAACGTCAGATATCCGACTCCGACGCTTGCCAACGTTGACCAACGTTGGGCCAACGTAGCTTTGCTAGCTGTGCAAGCCCCAATTTACCTTCACCTCCCCTCCCCCACTTACTTCCAATCACCATTTTAAGGCTTCTGATACACATGGAGGCCGGAGTGTGGGGTAGGCTGATTTGGAAAATTTGGAAATTTCTAGAACGCTTACATGGTGGGGCCTTGGGAACTCCCCTAGGCAGAAAAACCTGACAATTTAGCGACTAGAAAGGCATAGAAGAAGTCTCAAACCATGTAAAAAGTTTTTTGTTTTCTCCCCGAAGAATTGTGTGTTACCCCCTGTATAAACAATTTCATAGGATTCAAATCCGGCGGATCCAGGAGGGATCTTTTACAGATGGACGATGTGCCACATCAGCCCCAGCTTTGGTAGGGGCTGAAGAAAATGTATGATTAACGGATTCTAATATCTGTCATCGCTGGAATATGGGACAACTTATAAAGAACTTTCATTGGTTTTAATTACAAATTCAAATTCAATTGAAATTTATTCAGCATCACATAAAAACAATTACAATATACAAAATGCGGTAGGCACAGTTAAAACATCATTAAAAAGGGACAGGATATATATATATAAGATGTGTATACTCCCTGGTTCACCTTTCTTTCGAATTCCTGGATCTGCCACTGTTGATTTATTATATAATTATTTTTGAGTTTATTTATAATGCGTCTATTGCAATTTTCACTTTATCCTCTCAAACAGTCCTAAGAACGTTCAGAGTGCGCTACTTCACAGGGGGATTCGCCCCCCTTGACCCCGCCGGGTCCTACGTAATTCACATAACGGCTCCCCCCCCCCCCCCCCCTTTCAAAATCCTGGGTACATCCCTGGTTATGTATCCACTAACGTTTACCGACGTTGGGCCAACAAAGTACTGTGACGTTGGGACAACGTCTATAATCACATCCTAATATTTACAACTTCTAACCAACGTCGGACCAACGGTTGTAACCAACCTCCATTCCAAACGTTTACCGACGTCGGGCCAACAGCGTTCTGTGACGTTGAGACAAGGTCTGTAGCACATTTAATATTTACAGCCTCTGCAACGGTGGTAACCAACGTCTATTACAAACGTTTACTGACGTCGGATCAACAAAGTACTATGACGTTGCGACAACGTCTTTAATTACAACTAATATTTACAACCTCTAACCAACGTCGGCCCAACGGTTGTAACCAACCTTCACTAACGTTTACCGACGTCGGGCCAACAAAGTACTCTAACGTTGTGACAACGTCTGTTATCACATCCTAATATTTACAACCTCTAACCAACGTCGGGCCAACGGTTTTAACCAACCACCATTTCAAACGTTTACCGACGTCGGGCCAACAACGTACTGTAACGTTGAGACAACGTCTACAATCACATCTAATATTTACAACCTCTAGCCAACG